TCGACAAATTTCTTTCTAATTTCCATAGGTCTGGTAATACCCCCATCAGAACTGTTATCCTAAGAACTTAAGATTTAGTACTATGGAAGTCAGAAAGACCGCCCTGCCCTGAGACACGCCTCCCAGGAGGTGGTGACCAAACTACTTGCTTGTAAGAAGAGAAGGAAAAGAAAGAAAAAATAGATTGATATCTCTAAATAGTATCTGGCCACATTCAGGTTACTTTCTGCAATAGACATTCAGTACAAGGATCCATATAAACGGAGCACCACAGGAACCTTTTTTCTACCAGCAAATAGTCATCAAGCTGGATATTTTCATGGGGCCATTTCCATGAAGCCTCATCCCAACAGCCAGTGTTAAAACTCTCTTTGTCATTGCTAGGTAATGTACCAGAAATTCCTGACTGTCAACCCATCCCTGACCCTATCCCTGTACCCAAGGACTGGGTAGGGAAGAGGGTATGGAAGGAGGGAGGTACAGGAAGGGGTCTGTTTCTTCCATTACTCAGTAGCGGAAGATACAGTGGTTTGTATTTTGGCATAGTAACATGACTACATCAAAACCTCAAATGCCATCTTCATTCTGAGTCCTACTGCCTCTTAGGCGGATTTGTACAGCAGGCTTTTGCAAGAACTAGACCTGCCTCCTCATTTTCCATCAGGATTCACACTTCCCCAAAGAACGGATTGGATTGGGTTGGATTGCCTCCATTCAGTCTGGAAAACCCTAGTGAGCAGAATCCGCACCAAACGTTCAGAGGCACTGGCCCCTCCTGCTCAACCCACAGGTGGTTTCCCTTTGCTCAGGCATCATCCCCCATCCGTACATCCATGGACCGGTTCTTTCCAATTGTGCAAGGAGGAGCCTCTTTGGGCCATTCTCCTCAGAAAGGACAGGTACTCTGGCCCTCAGCGTGGCCAACACGCCATGGGTGGTGGAAAGAACACTGCAGTAGCTGTCCTAAGATCTAGAGCTCGCCCTCACTCTGTGTGATTTTGTTCTAACCCCAGCTTTTCAAGATCTTAATCTCTCAACTGAAAGATGTGCCCCACCTACATTATAAGGTTGCTGTGTAGTTCGAATAAGGTAATTGTTATGAAAGTACTTTGAAAAGCTGTAAGAACTGTAATAATGTTATTCCTTGACTAGAGATTAATGAACATAATAAAATTGCTACTGCAGGTATTAGCATAAGAGCACAGATTGCCCTTCCCTTTAATGAAATTCATCAGGGATAAATGTTCAGGCTTTTTCTTAACATTATCTTGCCCTCTTTCTTCAGTCAGAGGCCTGGAGACTCAGTGGTCCCCAGTCATGTACCTCTGGATGGGTAGTTTCCAGAAGGCCACTCTTCCTCAAGGGACATTGCTAAGGTATGGATTAGACATCCTCCTGGAACCTTCCAAGGTTCTAATTGCCTAAACAGCTCTAGCAAGAGGGTCAGCAAGCATTTTTAACAAGCAAGTGTGGAAATGATGCTCCAGTATAAATCAAACCAATTTTGATTAGAAAATATGTTCAGTTTTTTGGGTAACTGAACAATTTTCCAGTTACAAGGACAGTGCTTGCCCTTACTAGTCAGAAGTAGCTGGAGCTGGTTTAAAGTCCCTGATGGAGGCTGGAGGGCTGGCTCTACCTGAGGACACTCTGCTAACCAGCCCTGTGGATAGGCAGGTGTGGGGCGAGGCTATCAGGCAAAGGCCTTCCAGAGCTGTTGGCACAGTGGGGCCAGCCCAGAGCCACCTGTGCTGCCAGCAGCTTGGCGTGTGGTTTTCTCTCTCCAGATCCACATGTCACACTGCTGATATAAAATTCATTGCAGTGCTTCTTTTCATTTCCTTTCTGGCTTCTTTCTTCTCACAGCCTCCTTGGATACTTCTTTAGTCCCCAAGCTCTCTGTGTACAGTCAGCAATGACCACCAGCAGCTCATCCTAATTCCCTCTCTTCTCAGGTTCCCTCCACACTTTCTGTCCCAGCACAGCATTAGAATAATGGCTTGGAGCTAGCTGAGTAAGTGATCTGTGCCTACATTTTCCCTCTTATTAGAGGAACCTACCCTCTAAAGGAAGCCGCTGCAGAGACTACCTATTTTTCCCCCTCAAAAGACCTTTCCAATGATCTTAAATTTTTTAAGTTTCCTATTGCTTGACCTTCAATGTGGACTTTCTCAGAGCAGGACTCTGCCTTGTCTTCATTTGGCTATTAAAGCAGATTTTTCCATCTTTTTAAAAGAGACGTTTGTAAAGTAGGGAGGTCATCGGAGGGCTAGGGCCATGCAGACTGTCAGCCTGGAGGGTGCTGCCTCCTGCCTCAGAACACAGACAGGCTGCTGACAACACCTGAACTGTGGGGAGAGGTGACCTTTGGTTGGAAAGAAAGGGCTGGACCCAGAAAGCAGACCTTTCAGCCCCCATGACAACACAGCCACTCACGCTGGGAAGAGCAAGTGTGCAGAAAACAAAGGCTCATTTGGCATCTCTGATATCATCTTTGGAAGTGAATAAGACAAATAACTTAAAAGGGGCAGAGGAGATCGATGACGCTGCTAACTTGAGACTGTCCATATGAGAGACTCTGATTTATCAGCCTTCATAAGAGCGGATAAGCTCTCAAAATGAGTGTTCTATGATCAGGCGGCTATACCTCCTGCAAATCTGCGTGGCTTTCCTGGTTGGGGGTGTATGTGGGGAGTAGGGAGGTGACTGTCACAGGGATTGAAAATACACACTTTGATTCCATTATTCACTGATCCACAGGTTTGCCTTCCTATGCTGGGGCTGTTAATTGTGGCATTCCAAGGTACAATCCAAAGCTGGAGGGAATTAAATTTCAGAACAGGTTTGGCGTGGGGAAAAAAGAAAACTATTGCTGAGAGTGGAGCCCTGTCATTTTTTTTTCACTCGTATTATTATGAAAGCTGCGTTGTATTAGCAGAATGGAGTCAGAGAAACCATGCAGCCATTCGGAAAGGAGGAGGGAGTTCTCCCCAGGGCAGGGGGACGTGCGGGACCCAGCAGGGGGAGGAAAGCTATTATTAAAAATAAGAATAAGAAAATAGAGCTGTAAAGTGGGTGAGTAACCAGACTGAATATTGGTGCTGAACAGTATCTGAGCACTGGCTGGAGCTGCCTGAGTAAGATTAAAATCTGCAGGGAAATTTTGTTCCTTAGCACTGGCAGAAATTAGGAATAAATTCAATTGCATTCTGCACAATAGCTGGAAGCGATTGAGGTTAAGTGGCCTCGCTCTCTGATGTGTTAGTATTACTGAGCACTCTCTGCCCATGTGACTCCCTGCAATCTGCTCTTGGAACACGTCGCCATGGCAACTGATGATTTCTATTACAGTACATTCAAGTTCACATTCTAGGCCTGTCATATGCTTGGAAATTTCCAGTTAAAATATTTATTTATGAAAAAAAGCAAAAAAAAAAAGCTACCCCCGTTCTCTTTCAGGGATAGAAAACAAGAAGATGCCGCGATGCAGCGTGATTTATCTGCAGACAGGAAGAGATTGTTGCATTTTCACTTAGTTGTTGCCACCAAACAAAAAATTCCCCTTGGGTTGGCCGACTTTGTTGGGGAGGGGGAAATTTGCAATCTTACCTATCGTGGTTTGTGTGCAGGTGTGATATTGGTCTAAGTGCAGAGTGACAGAGTGGCCTGAAAAACCTGCAGATCAGAGTTTCCACTTGGCTCTCTGAGACACATGGTTCCAATTTCAGCTTCCCGCTCAGGCTCTGCATCTCTTTATCTTAGTCAACCCTCACCTGGGAGAGAGCTGCACTCACCCCTCAGCCGTGAGGAAGAGAAGGCGGGATCCCTCATTGGGCGGGGCAATATGCTGGGGTCCCCAGGGAGTCTCAAGCTGGCCCAAGAGAGGAGGCGTGCAGCCTGAGACATAAGAGAGCACACTGCTCTCTCACAGAAGCTGTAACCGCGTCCCATGACAGAGGTCCGTGTGGCTCTGTGTGTACGCCTCCTGGGCAGTGCACACGGGACCCCAGAGACCACCAGGTCTCTCAGGAAGACTTCTGTTAGGCCTGATTATGCCCAGTGATTTCTCCCTCAAGAAAGACAACCAAGGGTTAACTAAACCTTTCCTGAGAAAGAAAGCATTGTTTGTCAGCCCTGCACTGCAGAGGGAGGAGTCACTAACAAGGCCTCCTCTATTTTTTCCCCTTAGTCAAGCACATTAAATATGTTAATAAAAGATTCCCCAATGCTTTCTCTATCAGAAGCTTCCAGGTGCCTGGGATGACCCTAGGTACCTAATTACCTGGTGAGGACATCCCACGACTCACAGATGGTTCTTTCTCTAGCCATTAAAATCTCCAGCATCTTTTTCTGCATTGTGGCTTCTGCTGTGTCTGTTTGGAATCATATCCTGGTTCACAGCTAGAACCCACTCTGTTTAATGGGGCAGTGTTTTCTTAATTTGATTGTAAGAGTCACTGGTCTGCTTATTTAAAATCCATATTCCCAAAGGTACCTCAGATTTACTGAGTCAGAGTCCCCAGGGGAAAGGCCTGGGAATCTGTATCTTACAATCAAGCAAATTTGAGTAGCACTGTGCTTGGATTGTGAACGTATTGACAATATTAGGGCTATCTTTCAAAAATTATCCAGTGACATACTCCTGATGTCTCTATATCAGGCAGTGGGCCAGAAGTCTTCTGGGAAATTCCTCACTATTATTGGTGTAAAATGTGACAAAAAAAAAGATTGGGCAATATTAAGGAAATGTAAAGAATGGATTGATGGTTGTGGTTCTGGAGATTCCCCAATGAAAGCACCAATGAATTCAGTTCTGTTTTGATATGAAAGTATTTTCTATACAACCGAATACTCATCCCATGTATAAGAAAATAACTTCTTAAAACTCAGATTAACTAACGTGCCAACCAGCAGCTCTAAGAAAGGAGTTTTGTGCATGTGCAAAAGATAGGACTGTCTGGGAATGGGGGATGAATTCTAGGGTTAAGTTTTTAATCCTACTCAGCAGCTTTGTCTATGAGGACTTACAAGACAGTTGTTATGTTTACAGATTGCTGACTGCACGAGTAAGAAGGTAGGGGAGGCAGCATAAAAGATGGCATTGCTGAAGCCAGAAACCTGACCAGGGAGATGCGTGTTCTGTATTCAGCAGAGAAGACACCAAGCATGGAAGTAGCCTCTGCACCCTAGACTCTGTGTCTCCCTACATCCCTAACACAAGTAAGTGATGCCAGGGTGTGCGACTCTGATAAAGACTTTGGTGTCGATGCCACTCAAATCGATAGTTCTCCCATATTGTTATGTTGATCCAAAAAGGTAGATAGTCATGTAAGTGGACTGGCAGGCACTTGGAAAAATTACAGCAGGCATGGTTAGTTTTTAAATCAATTCAAGAGCTCCAGAGAAGAACTCCATACACACACACACACACACGCACACGCACACGCACACGCACACACACACACACCTGTAAGCTGAGAGAGATTTAACATGCTCTTCTAGAGCCTGGACTCATGCATCCAGAAATCACCTTTTCAGATTCTGGAGTGGATTACAGATTTGTAGGCCCTAACCAACCAAGGAAACGGCAGGACCCCCAGCCCAGAATGGCTCTGGCCAAGCCTAGCTCAGTCTGTTTCCTTTATGTGGGGCAGCAGCGTCACCTAGTGATCCTGTAGTGTAAGTACAAGCTCTTTTCCTGGGAACTCGCCAATTTGATCAAACTGTAATGAGTGAGAGGAGTTGTATATGTTATCCCAGCCTGGAGGTGACCCCCAATTCTGTTTCTAGTCAGCCTGGGATACAATCTATGACTCTGTAGCAGTTGTGTTTTCCATCAAGTTACATAAAAGAGTGTGGCTGAGCTCATGCCTGGCAGGATGGGTGGGGGAGGCAGAGGGACAGGCAAGGTTAAAGAGGTGTCAGTTCGGGTTCTCCAAGAAGCAGATGCTAAGATGGAGTGGAAGTGCAAGAGACTTGGTGAGGTTAACCCGTGTCAAACAAAAGGGAGAGGGATGACCAGTAGGCAGGGAGAGCCTCAGAGCTTCATGGCGCCATACTGGTCTGTGAAAAGATGGTGAAGGAGAGAAGATGGGGTAGGGAGAGCCTGAGATTGCAGTGCAGCACAGAGAAGGGGTGGCCAGCCCAACAGGGAAATCTGGTACAAAGACCCAGAAAAGGTGCTCCCTGCTACCACCACTGTGCCTGGTTGTTGACCAGGAGCTACCTTGGGACATTCACAGCTAAAAGGCTGCCAGCCAACTGCATTCCTTGGGGGAGAGCTCTCTCTAAGGGAGACCTGAGCCCCAGGACCCTATGACTACCACAGCCTGGAAAGGAAACTATGCCACGATCACATACTTGGCAGCAGACCCACATGTCCACACACAGACACTATCAAACACAGAAAATGAAGGAACGCTGTGAACTGATTGTATCTAAACTGATAAGTATAAAATCTAGCACTAGTTTTCATTCCATTAATTAATGTAAACTAGAAAGTGGAACTCCTGGGCAGCATTTATTAAGCTCACCTTTCTAAACAGCAAGCTGCCCGCTATCCATGGTATGACATTGAAACCAAGTTCAATGTCAGTAACCCAGAATACCACGAGCACTTCAGCTTCTTTGTCAAGGATGGGTCTGAAAGGATTTGGGTCTGAAAATGTCCATCTCCTGCCCCAGGCATGAACAATGACCTCATATCTGTGCTGACTCTCTTCTTCCTGTAAATGGTCTTTGTTACTGTTGACCATGAGACGCCACTGCCCTGGTGATATGACCTGATCTCTTTATTTAAAAACATTAAGGAACTTGCTCAAGTTCAAGGATTTTCAGAAATCCAATTTGGGTGAATTAAGAAACCCAGATAGCACTGCAGGCAAGGGCACAAAATTTTCAAATCACAGTTAAGCCACAAAGGCCCAGGATGCCTTGAATAAAAAATGCAAGGAGTGCTTGACAAAGAAACTTGAAAAGATCTAAAGGTAGAAGAAAGCCCACTGTGGAAATAGAGATAGAATGAGGACAAGCCCTCCAAAAAAAAAATGAATACACAACTCTTTCTAAGGCTTGTCAGGGAAAGATAAGAGCAGTGGAGAAGGCAGAATGAGTTAACACCACCATGGAGGTTAGAGGCGAGGAAAACTGGCTGGGGAGGAGGAAGCCTGAGCAATAAAGTGGCTGACTAATAAATGAGGAGGGGAGTGAAATTAATGATGACTCTGAGTGGCAGAGATACCGAGGTGCTCTTTTAAATTGGTCTTTAACAAGAAAAATAAAGGAAGGGAGCATAGATAATTAGGAATTAATGAAGACCTTTAAATATAGATGTTGAAATAAACCAGGTAAGGGAATACTTGAAAACATGGTACAATATGTAAATCAGCAGATCTGGATAATGCACATTCCCCAACCTTAAGGGAATTAGTTAATGAACTTGCTGAACTACTGGCCATTATTTTCAAAGGCTCCAAGAGACCAAGGATTATAAAATGAAAATATTTCACCAGTATTTTAACAAATAAAAAAAAAGTAGCCTTGATAATTACTATACCTGCCACTGTATACTCTCCCCACCTCATGGGGATGTTGTAATGACAAATGGAATTAGAAACTTTACAGCACCCGGAGGAAAACATGGTTGGGAGGGAAGTAGCCGGCGGATGATCGAGGCTGATAGACTGGATCTGGGGCATATGATCCCGGCAAATACAGATATTTGACTTTTTGTTCAACTGAATGCATTTGGGGGTTATAGAATTGTATTTTTGTTCTTTAGGCTGATATAAAATCAGCTTACATTCCCAGAGAGCAAAGGAGGGAAAGTCTTCTTCGTAGGTGTCAATCTATGATGTTAAATTTTCTAAGGATAATCCACAGATGGATAATGGAGTGTAGGCAGTATCAAAAATCTCCAAGCTTTGTCTGTAATAAATAGGCTGCAACAAGTTGTTCTTTATTTTAATCAAGATAAGTAATGCATTTAAAAAAAAAGATAAGTAATGCATTATTCTTATAGAAAAAGCAAAAAAAAATACAGATAAGCAGTAATAATCATCATCATCCTCATTCTCATCATCACCTAAAATCCTTCCACTCCCTATAACATGCACATCCTTCCTTCAATTAAAATTGCTGCATAGTTATTTAACCAATAACTTTTGGGCATTTAGATGATTTCTCATTCTTTCTTTTTGCTGCTAGTAACTCTGCAGCTCACATCTTTAAACAAACATCTTCGGACACTTATTTTTTTCTTCCCTTAGAATACAATCCTGTAAGAAGGATTGCCAAATCAGTTGAACCTCTTTTAGGATATCTGTCCCATATTGCTAAATTACTCTCAAGAAAGAAGGCAATTAACACTCCACAAACAATAAATGAAAATGCCAGTTTCCTCATGTTTACACCAACTGGATTTAATCATTTTTTTAATCTTTCAGTTCAATAACATGTTAAACATCCTGTAACCATTGGATTTGGATCATTAAATAAAACTAAACACCTGAGGAAATCTATGTATTTTCTATACTCGCCTTAGACTATTTGGGGGGAAACTTCTCTTTTTTCTCTCTCTCTCTCTCTCTCCTTCTGTCTCTCCACTTCCCTTCTTTTCTTACCTCCGTCCTTCCTTGCCTGTCTGCCTGCCTTTTCTTTTTTGAATTGTAGCTACATTGACATATTTTTCATTAAGTTGTGTAAATTTGAATAAATGACACTATTGAGAATAACAGTCTGGTACGACCTTATGAAGTTAGATGTTCACAAGCCTCTGAACCAGGCAAACATGTTGGAGAAACACTTGCATACAAGCATGAGAATGCCCAAGAACACACACAGCAGCCCTGCCCGGCATAGCTAAGAAACTACCAACGACCAACTGTACATTTGCAGGAAAACGGATGAGTAAACCGTGCCGCATTCCCACAATGGACGGTCATACAGCAGTGAAATGGATGAACACTTTGAAACAACACATGGATGAATCTCTGAAACAACATTGAATGAAAATAGCAAGTTGCAGAAGATTAAGTACAGTATGATACAAATTTTATAAAGCTCAAAGGCAAGCAAACTTAAATAGCTTACCACTTAAGGGTACATACATAGGTGATAAAAGCATTTTTTTATCAGATAAATAATGAACACAAAATTCAGGATGGTGGTCACCTCTCAGGGGGAGACAGGGTCAGAGGAATGAAACAGAAGGAACTCTTAGATGCCACATCGGAAACAGTTCAGCTCCCAGAGGGATCATACATATAAATTTGTTGTTCTTTTTTTAATGTGTTATAAGCATTTGAGTGTATCAGCCATAGAAAGGTGGATATGCATTGCACACTCACTCATTTGCAATTTCATTTGCTAATATGTCAAACAGTGAGCTTGTGTCCCCAAAGAACATAACCAGTTTTTTACTGCTAAACGCAGGCCCTGTACTTTACCAGCTAGGTGCCTGCCACTGAGAATACAGAAGAGAGCCTCTCCGGGGGATTCCACAATTCCTCAGAGAAGTGGCTGTGCCCTCACACCTCAAGTGGAGAATTCCCTTTGCTCTGGAGAATCTGGGAAGGGAGAAAAATGAGCCAGCATGTGCAATAGACACAACTTCTGGAGGAATTCCCTAAGGCTCAGGGCTGTGACCTTACCCATTCTCATCTACTTTTCTAAAAATAGATCTCCAATTCTGGTAAATGGTTAGAGGAAAATAGACTATTTTTAAAGGAGCGGTACTAAATAGCAAAATCATTTTGCTTAAGCAATGAGCCAAGTCACTTCTAATGAGGTTGTGGCATTACTGGAAATAAGAGATATATTTAAATAAATAGTCCATACATTACCCCAATAAATCACTTGAAAAAATATTCTTGAGTGTACTAAATGTATTTTTAGTGGCATGTGCCTGACCTTTCTAGAAGAAGAAAGATAATACTGAAACATTTTGAGAATAAACATTTATCCAAATTAGTAGTCAAGATACTAGTAAAAATTGTTTCACATTTTCTTAACACCTTTAACCCTAACCTGTGCTTCAGATACAGCTTATTTTTTTCTACCTTTAATAAAATACAGAATCTGTCTGTGAAGTATCAGGAATATGAGAGATGAAACTTTTTTGATGACCCACTGAGAAATCCTATAATGGTCCTATTACTTCAAGGCCTCGGGCAGGATGGATACAGGCCCATCTGCAACATTTCATGAAATGAATCCCGGTC